CCAAGTAGCTAGGACTACAGGCGCCCGCCACAACGCCCGGCTATTTTTTGGTTGCAGCCATCCTTGTTATTTGGCAGGCTGAGCTGCATTGGAACTCGCCACCTTAGGTGTATGTGGCTGGCGCCTTAGCCACTTGAGCCACAGGCGCTGAGCCTATGTTTTCTATTAACATATCAATAGATTTTTTTTTGTTGATGTTAAGAAAGCAATGATAATAGATGCCTCAAGGAAGTTGCATAACCTTCAAAAAGCAAGCAGTGCAACTTAAATCTTTTCTGGAAGGGAAATGCTTTTAGCTACTGAGTTAAAAACAAAACAAAATACAACAGTGTTAGGATTTCAAGAAACAAATGTATTCTTATTTTATAATTTACCTTGGAACAGTACCATAAAAATATTTACATTAAAATAAATTAACATGCAGTTACTTATTTAATGATATGTAATAATTTATGTTGGAATATATTAGCCTTTCCATGAATTTAGTAAAAGCAAAGATTTGGTTTTAGATTTAGTACCATCCTTTCAAATATTTGGTATGAAAGTTGGTAGCTATTTAGACTTCACCAAGAAATAACTGATGCCTCTTTATGGTTCATCATCTTGCCCCAGATACAGACAAGACACAGAGTAGCTAAGCTTCCTTCCCAGGAATCACCATGGAATGTTTGAACAATAATTAGGCCCTGGGGATTTACGGACTGGCAGAGTTCTCAGAATCGACCAACTTTTCTTTTTCACATTAACCCATCAGGAAGGAAGTAGTTCAAATGCAATATAGATTCCTTCAGCTTATTTTATATGCTAACACTGAAATAATACATTGTAGAAACCTTCATTTTCCTAAAATAGAAAACAATCTGAAAAATATATGCATATACTTTTTAGATCATCTAAAAGTACCAATAAAAACCTGTTACTGGATTAAATACTGCACTGGCAAAATCTCCATAGCAGAAAGGAATATTTGATTAAATCACAGCTGAGAGACAGGATCAAGAATACATGAAGTCATTTGCAAATCAGATATTAAAAGTTTTGGTGGCCTATGGTAAATTAGAATACATTAGCATTTTGAAAGTATTTTTGAAATCAGAGGTTGTACATCTTAGCAGAAGAATTAAAGAAAACTCACTAGCCCCCATAGCTTTAGGTATGTCACTTAAACACACTAAATTCTTTAAAATAGGAATTAAAACATCCACCTCACAGGATGAGAGCATCTAGGACAATGTATATGAAGCTCCTACTTCAGAGCCTGGCATATAGTAGGCACATAATAAATGACAGCAGGAAGTATTTCTTCCAGGTTACAATTATTTTTCCTTTTTTTTTTGCAGTTTTTGGCCGGGGCTGGGTTTGAAACCACCACCTCCAGCACGTGGGGCCAGTGCCCTACTCCTTTGAGCCACAGGTACCACCCCTTTTTTTCCTTTTTTGGAGATAGTCTTTCTCTGTGGCCCCAGCTAGTGTACAGTGACATCACAGCTCACTGCAGCCTCAAACTTCCAAGCTCAAGCGATCCTCACTGTACCCAGTGGGGTACAGTGGGGTACAGTGGGACTATATAGTATAGCTGGGACTATAAATAGGCACACGCCCCCTTGCCAAGATAACTTTTCTACTTTTAGTAGAGATGGGGTCTTGCTCCTGCTCACATGGTCTCGAACTCCTGAGCTCAAGCATTCCTCCTGCCTTTGCATCCCAGAATGCTAGGAGTACAGACTTGAGCCATCATGCCTGGCCCAGGTTGCAATTAATAGCCAGAACTTTGCCTTTTATAGTTTGATACCAATAAAAGCAGAGATTATTTAGCCAGATTCACAGATCTGGGGTATAGTTATAACATGTACAAACACTGACTTAATAAACACTCGAGGGTCATATTCAACATAAGAGGAAAAGCTATTGAAGGGAGAGGTGTTTGCTGGTCAGTAGGAAAGATCCTTTTGGGACAGTTAATCTCCTTTCAGAGGTTGTAAGTCCTAGTGGCTTCTCAGCTTTCCCTAAGAAGATAAGGACAAGGTCACTAAGACCATTGTAATTCAGATTCCTGGTCCAATACTCTTACAAATTCTGCTGGACTAATAACATTTTACAACACATGACATTTGGGAGTGACAAGAATGTCCACTGTCTTGCTTGCAGTGATGGTTTCTCAGGTATATACATACATCAAAGCTTATCAAATTGTACATTTTAAAAAAATATCCCAATAGGGTGGCATCTGTGGCTCAGTAAGTAGGGTGCCAGCCCTATATACTGAGGGTGGCGGGTTCAAACCCAGCCCCAGCCAAACTGCAACAAAAAATAGCCAGGCGTTGTGGTGGGTGCCTGTTGTCCCAGCT